TATGGTGTCTGTGTTTCCACGATACTTTTAAATCATTTAAAAGTATTCATTTAACTTGCACATTTCTGTGATGTAGGTCCTATTGTCTTTATAAGTGCTTGAAAACTGAGATGAGAACAGTTAATGGGAAAATTGCTGGTAAATGAAAAGGTGGAGAAATGGGGGAAATGGAAGTTTAGTGTTACAAAAAATGAGTTGTTTGTAGAGCAGGAGGGTGCCTCTGTGTTGAAATGTTCTGAGAAGTTAACCAAAATGAGAGCTATACAAGATCCATAGGTTTAAAAGATGGAACTGACATCACTGACATTCAGTTCAGTTCAGTTGCTCAGTCGTGTCCGACTGTTTGCGACCCCATGAACCACAGCATGCCAGGCCTCCCTGTCCATCACCAACTCACGGAGTCCACCCAAACCCATGTCCATTGAGTCGGTGATGCCATCCAGCCATCTCATCCTCTGTTGTTCCTTTCTTCTCCTGCCCTCAATACTTCCTGGCATCAGGCCAGGACAGTTCTGATGGAATGGTGGAAACAATCCAGGTTTATAAGGGCTGAAGAGAAAATGGAGATTGTGTAGACATTTTGAAATTTGTTTGTGACTTGAAGGAAGTGGTTGTCAGAAAGGCACTTTTTATTTTTCTTGTTTAGGTTGGGGTAGACTTGAACCTAAGTGCTGGTTTCAGCATCAACAGAGAGGGAGAGCCTTAAGACGTTAAAGAGAGAATCATAGAGTAAGGTCTCCTGTGAATGCAGAATTGAATAGGATCCAGGGCACAGGTGGAAGGATATCTCCTTCGCTGTATAAAAAAGGAGAGAAAGAAAGGGTGGATCCACATCTAATGATGGGAAGTTGAGTTAATATTATTTGGGAGCAGATATGAAGGGGTATTGGAGAAGGAAATGGCAGCCCACTCCAGTGTTCTTGCCTGGAAAATTGCCTGGTGGCAGGCTATTGTCCACAGGATCATGAAGAGTTGGACATGACTGAGTGCGCACACACACACACACGCACACACACAAAAGGGTATTCCTTTCTAGTTTCACGTCCCTTTGAGGACCGTTTACTATGGTTATGTTACCTGTGCGTTCTTGGTTCTAATATTTGAACTGCCTGTTTTATTAAGAAATATGTAGTCCATACAAAATATTGCATGTAAGTTACAGCGCCTAATAAGGCAAGTGTCAGAACCCACTACTCAGCTCAAATAGTATATTAGGAACACTATCGAAGCACCTTCCCTGAACTCCTTCCTGTAACCTGACCTTGAACTTCCCCCGTTCATTCCCTTCCTTATGTTTGAAGAGAACTTACTGTCCTTAAATCTGTTAGGGTTACTTTTTTTTGAAACTTACAATAAATGGTATGCTGTATATTCTGCAACTTATCTTTTTTCATTCATTACATTTAAGATTTTTAGTTTGAGGCAAGTAGTTATATTTCATTTGCTTTTCTCTACTGGATAGTAGTCTATAAAAGATGGATGTTTGAGTTGTTTGCTCTTATTTTTTGGTATCTACTTTGATTGGTCTTACACGTATTAGTAAGATACAGGTGTAAGATTTCTTCAGGGTGTATACTTATCATTGGGCTGTAGAGTATACCCATAGTTAACTCCACAGTAAAAATGCCAAATTAGTTTCCTAAATTATTATACCAATTTATGTTAAAACTATGTTATGTTATAGTACACAGGAATTCTGTTGCTCTATACCTTTACAAAGACTTAATAGTATCAGATTATTTTAAAGACAGCTTTCTTGAGGTGTCATAAATATAACATTAACTCCTTGTAATTGCACAATTTAATAATTTATAGTAAATTTGTAGAGTTATGCAACTATTACAACAATTGAGTTTTATTTACTTTAAAAAATATTTATTATGTTGGCTCCACTGAGTTTTAGTTGCTACTTGTGGGAACTTTGTTGCAGCAAGTGGGTTTCTTAGTTGTGGCATGCATGAGGGATCTAGTTACTCAACCAGGGTTCGAACCTGGCCCCGGCATTGGGAGCATGGGATTTTAACTACTCAACAGCCAGGGAAGTCCTAGCAGTGAGTGTTGTAGAACATTTCCATAACCCTTTCAAGTTCTCTTTTGTGCTGTTATTTGCTTTCTGTCTCTATAAATTTGTCTTTTCTGGATATTGCGTAGAAAGTAAAGTCTTGTATCTGTCGTCTTTGACTTACCATTATGTTTTTGAGGTTCATGCATGTTATAGCATGTATCAGTAATTCATTTCTTTTTGTTGCTAGCCAGAATTCCTTTGTATGGTTATAACACATTTTGCTTATCCATTTACCAGTTGCTGGATATTTGGATTGTTTTTATTTGGGGCTGTAATAAATAATGTGCTGTATAAATTTGCCTACAAGTCTTTAGGTGGGTATATGCTATCATTTCTTCTGGGTAGATATTCAGAAGTGGAATATTACACTATTTTAACTTTAGAGGCTTTGTAATATGTCTGTATCTGATTAGATGAGTTCCTCATCTTGTTCTGTTTCATATTGGCCCTTTGTTCTTCCATGTAGATTTGAAGTAAAGTTAATATAAACCTGCCCTTTCTCTAATTATTTACTTTCTTCATCTGTGAAATTGCAAAGAAAAATTTGCTTCTTTAAATTTACAGGAATTCCTTAGTGGTTCAGCGTTTGTGACTGCTTTCACTGCCAAAGGCCTAGGTTCAGTCCCTGGTCAGGGAACTGAGATCTGGCAAGCCACATGGCATGCCCTCCAAATTTGCAATATTTCTGTTATAATACTTAATTTGTTGTTATAGGTAATTATTTACAAGTTTTTCCTACCATAGTGTAAATTTCTTGAGGTTGCTTTGTCTGTGATTCTCAATGTGCTACTTGTGTAATATATTTGTGTAGTGAATGAATATTGACAGAGGAATCCTATTGGTTCAGTGCTCTTGAAACCCTCAGGCCTCTCTGACCTTAGACTTTTATGGATAGTCAACTTCATTATTATTATTATGGTTCAGATTTCTAGCATAAAAATTGAATTTTTGAATTTAACTTTATGTAGCTTATCTACTGGATAGTAGTCTATAAAAGATGGATGTTTGAGTTGTTTGCTCTTATTTTTTGGTATCTACTTTGATTGGTCTTACACGTATTAGTAAGATACAGGTGTAAGATTTCTTCAGGGTGTATACTTATCATTGGGCTGTAGGGTATACCCATAGTTAACTTCACAGTAAAAATGCCAAATTAGTTTCCTAAATTATTGTACCAATTTATGTTAAAACTATGTTATGTTATAGTACACAGGAATTCTGTTGCTCTATACCTTTACAAAGACTTAATAGTATCAGATTATTTTAAAGACAGCTTTCTTGAGGTGTCATAAATATAACATTAACTCCTTGTAACTGCACAATTTAATAATTTATAGTAAATTTGTAGAGTTATGCAACTATTACAACAATTGAGTTTTGTTTACTTTAAAAAATATTTATTATGTTGGCTCCACTGAGTTTTAGTTGCTACTTGTGGGAACTTTGTTGCAGCAAGTGGGTTTCTTAGTTGTGGCATGCATGAGGGATCTAGTTACTCAACCAGGGTTCGAACCTGGCCCCGGCATTGGGAGCATGGGATTTTAACTACTCAACAGCCAGGGAAGTCCTAGCAGTGAGTGTTGTAGAACATTTCCATAACCCTTTCAAGTTCTCTTTTGTGCTGTTATTTGCTTTCTGTCTCTATAAATTTGTCTTTTCTGGATATTGCGTAGAAAGTAAAGTCTTGTATCTGTCGTCTTTGACTTACCATTATGTTTTTGAGGTTCATGCATGTTATAGCATGTATCAGTAATTCATTTCTTTTTGTTGCTAGCCAGAATTCCTTTGTATGGTTATAACACATTTTGCTTATCCATTTACCAGTTGCTGGATATTTGGATTGTTTTTATTTGGGGCTGTAATAAATAATGTGCTGTATAAATTTGCCTACAAGTCTTTAGGTGGGTATATGCTATCATTTCTTCTGGGTAGATATTCAGAAGTGGAATATTACACTATTTTAACTTTAGAGGCTTTGTAATATGTCTGTATCTGATTAGATGAGTTCCTCATCTTGTTCTGTTTCATATTGGCCCTTTGTTCTTCCATGTAGATTTGAAGTAAAGTTAATATAAACCTGCCCTTTCTCTAATTATTTACTTTCTTCATCTGTGAAATTGCAAAGAAAAATTTGCTTCTTTAAATTTACAGGAATTCCTTAGTGGTTCAGCGTTTGTGACTGCTTTCACTGCCAAAGGCCTAGGTTCAGTCCCTGGTCAGGGAACTGAGATCTGGCAAGCCACATGGCATGCCCTCCAAATTTGCAATATTTCTGTTATAATACTTAATTTGTTGTTATAGGTAATTATTTACAAGTTTTTCCTACCATAGTGTAAATTTCTTGAGGTTGCTTTGTCTGTGATTCTCAATGTGCTACTTGTGTAATATATTTGTGTAGTGAATGAATATTGACAGAGGAATCCTATTGGTTCAGTGCTCTTGAAACCCTCAGGCCTCTCTGACCTTAGACTTTTATGGATAGTCAACTTCATTATTATTATTATGGTTCAGATTTCTAGCATAAAAATTGAATTTTTGAATTTAACTTTATGTAGCTTATACTAAATACTTTCTCCTTACTTTTTTGGGTATGTATAGTAAATGTGTGCTTAGTCGTGTCTGACTCTTTGCAACCTCATGGGCTGAAGCCTGCCTGGCTCCTTTGTCCATGGAACTTTCTAGGCAAGAATACTGGAGTGGGTTGCCATTTCTTTCTCCAGGGACTCTTCCTGACCTAGGGATTAAACCTGTATCTCTTGTGTCTCCTGCATTGGCCGGTGGATTCTTTACTGTGTACCACCTGGGAAGCCCATGTATAGTAAATGGCTAGTTCCTAATGTGTTACATTTCTTCTACTGTTATCAAGGAACACTTATTTTGACATATTTGTACTTGGAAATTCACAGAATTGATGTTTTCTTATCTGGTTTGGTAGGAAGCAGTTGAGAAATATGAAGAAGTGCTACATAACTTAGAATTTGCCAAGGAGCTTCAGAAAACCTTTTCTGGACTGAGCCAAGATGTAAGTATATACTTTTTTTGCTTTTCTTAAAACCAGCTTAACTACTGATCTTGAAGAAAATGTTAGTGTCTGATAATGGTGCTTCGTTAATTGTTCGTCTAATTCCTGCTGATTTTTAATTCTGGGAGGTGGAGTGGAGGATAGCTACTGAAGAACTGAATACAAATGTTATCTGAATATGAAACATTGTGAATAAAGTATTCATTATCGAATGTATACTATTTCACTATGGAATTATAGAAATCACTGAGAAATGGAATGAAACTTTTTGACAGATTCATTTATAAAGCATTTTACAATGTGGGCTTGAAAATTTATATAATATTGGCTTGTGTGTTTAGCATTATTTGACATATTATGAAATGTAGAATTGGTAGATCCTTCTTGAGAGCATGACAGTTATTACCAGGCAAATTTATGGTTCATAATTTAAATAAAATTAAGTGTGGTCTCACTGATATAGTTTGAATTATTCTATATTGGAAATTCAAGTTTTTTCTCCTATAAATTTAACCAGTAATTAATATGAAGTCTTAAGTTTTCATTAATGAGGTATGCTTCACTGCTTTAGAGTCTTAGTTTTAGAAAGATGGACCTTTAGAGAGCCTGTTCTAACAACTTAGAAAATATTTTGGTAAATTCATTTTGGGGTAGGGAGAATGTCTCATAGACTTTTCTACTTTTTGGATCTTGTACAGTGAATTAAAATTCTCTTCTCCATTCCCCTGGGATCAAAAACAAACAAAAAAACACAAAATATCATTCTGAAGTTGAAGACATCTACCATCTTAATCCTTGTACTATATAATTCTGAGTTGTTCTCTTCTGGATGTCTGACTTTTAAAAGGTAGTGTGAAATCTAAAATAGCCTAGTATAGAGATACTTCCTTCTGTTTTCTGAATACTTCTGTTAATGCAAGTGTAGGATAATATTAGACTTCATGGCATCTGATATCATGATATTAGATATTCAAGGCATCCAGTCCCATCACTTCATGGCAAATAGATGGGGAAATAATGGAAACAGAGACTTTATTTTTTGGGGCTCCAAAATCACTGCAGATGGTGACTGTAGCCATAAAATTAAAAGATGTTTGCTCCTTGGAAGAAATGCTATGACCAATCTAGACAGCATATTAAAAAGTAGAGACATTACTTTGCCAACAAAGGTCTGTCGGTCAAGGCTATGGTTTTTCCAGTAGTCATGTATGGATGTG